GATATTAAAATCGTTAAACATTGTATAGTTTAATTTATATTTTGATGGTCAAAATTAAAAAAAAAATGATTATTCATATTACTTACATAATGAGACGGTCATTTTATAATAATAATAATAATGATATTTGAAATATTCTAAACATGAATGTGTTGGCCTGCTACATCTGAAACACAAACAGTTACATAAATAATAATGAAACAATTGTATTATTTGGAAATATTACAAACTTAAGATGAGTTTAGACGATTTTCATTTTCTAAAATTAATTATGTATTCAATTACAGTACTGCACTTCTATTCAAAACTCTACTAGTCAACCACGCCTGAAACACCGACAAGTTGTCCGATGTGTCCGAGGCAGGAGGAGGGGGAGTCTTAACTCTGTCTCTTATACACATCTAGATGTGTATAAGAGACAGCTAATCAAATATCTCATAAAATAATAGTAATCGATAATTATATTGAATATATATGTTAGTAAAACAGCTTTTATGTGTGAATTTGGTAACAAATATTGTGCTTCAATCTTATGTTAATTTACACATGTACTTTTGTTTGCAGGTTGTTGGTGGTTGCGCACAATCCAGGTCATTGTAAGTTTAGAGCTTGACGGTGTTGCATGTGTTCGTTTAGAGTTAGAATTGAATCGCAAAGGAAAAGTAACAACATGAATGGAGATAAGAAGCCTACAAGCTATCACATATTTACGATGACCTTCTACACCAACCCAGGAAAAGACCTCAAATACCAACAGAAAGTGCACGTCATCGGATGACATCGGCCGATGACAAAATGATCTGACATTAGGTCATTTACCTGATGAAGGTACTATTTCGAAACCGGTTTAGTATTTAAACAAGTTTAAATATTAAAAAGCATATTGTTGATAAAGCATTTATTTAAAACTGATACTGAAAAGCATATTGTGGATAAAGCGTTTATTTAAAAAATGTAAAGCATATTTTATTTAAAGATTTTAATGCTGAGAAGCACGATATGCATATACCATTTTTTTTAAACATTTAATTTCTGTGAGGCATGTTCTTTATTTAGCCACTTTTTTGAAACAGTTTTAAATATTTAGAAAATATTAAAAAGTTTTAAATATTTTTTTGTTAGAACAGATTTAAATACTGTGAATGCTATTGTGGATAACACTTTTCTTTTTGACATATTTAAATACTGTGAAGCCTATTGTGGTTAACAATAAAACAAGATCGACTACTAACATGTCTATTAGTATATTATTATGTTGTTTTGTAGCATTGTAAACACAATTTTTGAAACCCATTCTCATAAGTCACCAAATCATACATTTCTACCAACCTTTAATACTAAAACTAAAAATCAGTACACCCTTTTATGTACTAAAGTATCTATTAGTGTTTTACTTTCTATTAGAAACTGTTAGTTTTTAACTATAATTTAAACAAATGCCAAAAGAAACTTTTCTAAACTGGTACACGTCACTTAGGCCCTCCAACACGGCGGCGGAGGCCTCACTTTTTTCTGTACCAGGATTGGCCGAGGAGCAATCCAGCTATTATAGTAGAGATCAGTGATTTACAATCACTTATTCCTGTTTTTTTTTTTTTTTTTTTTTGCTACAATTTGGATGTTTAATAAATCTTGCTAAATACTATCGCATCAAAACTATGAAAGGCATCCATGTCTCAAAATAGGTCTATTTGATTGGCTCCTCATTGCATTCATCTACCATTCACATCATAAATAAAGTGGCATTTACAATTACAAATAAAACTTTACACATAAAAACATTTCATAAAAACATAGAAGAGTATACTCACACAAATTTGTGTGATATGTCTTTATATGGACATGATGTTGTCATATTTCACCTAAATATATCACAATTTTGTCACATAAATTTGATAGTGTGAATAGAGCTGTCGTATGCCCATATATAGTCATGATGTGCCCATATATAGTCATGATGTGCCTATATATGGTCATGATGTGATGTCATAATGACCATATTAGGCATGTCACATGTTTTTGTCAAATCAATTACTGAATTATATAATAATAAAGCTTTTTTGATAATTTTAATTTCAATGAATTTAAATTATAATTTTATAATAATTCTCTGTAATTGAAGTAATATTTTTTGTTTTTTTTAAATTGTTAATTTTACTGTTATTCCTTAATATTTCTTTGATCTGCTGCATTCTTTTATTTGTTTGACTTTCTTTTGTAATGTGCAATTTTAATGTAATTGAATTATTCGTAAGATTTTCTATTTTTAGTGGTTAGGGTTAGTGCAATTTTGAATGTTTTCTTTCTGTCTTGGGGACCCCAAATACGGTTACTTGTAAACTTTCTTGGGTATTTTTCTCAGTTTATTCAGTTGATGTTGTTCTTTGTACTTTTTATCTGTTTCTGTGCTTTTGTAATGTTTAGTTTTTATCTCTCTGAATGAACTGAATAAATTGAAATTTGATAGTTGGGACAAGGCTTTAGGTAAGTGTGGCTTTTTTTGTGTGTGCGAGTATACCACATAAAAAATTGTAAAGGACTTACCGAATTGAATATGCAGTAGCTGTATCTTATAGACAGAGAATTCTTGATACATCTGATTCCTACCTATTGTGGTTCGTTACTACGGTGTAGCAGTATTCATTGGTCGGGTGACAAGGTCTTCAAATGTAGGAGAACCTTAGATGTTTGATCTTGATAGTAAGTGTAACTACTTGTCTTCAGTTAAGATAAAATGATTATGACGGAGGATCGGTTTCATTTTTATATAGTTTAGCTACCTACTGCTTACTGCCACTTTTCCTTCGATCTTATTGGCTAGTGGTTATTGTTTTTAGCTGATTGGCCATCATGCACCACTGTCTCAACCAGTCAGATTTCATACTTACATTGCAATGAATGGACAAAATTGTTGTTATGTAAGAAATGCTGTATGAGGCCATCGTGTTTAATCTAATCTTTCATAGTTTGTGTTTTGTTTTTCAAATGTAAATAGTAATAAATCAATATAAATACATATTACTAGTCAAAGAATAATTTATATAAAATATAAAATATTTATATAAAAAAAGAAATACAAATATATGGCATTATAGTCGGATATTTGATGAGGGTTATTATTCCTTTGTGTATACTCAGATACCATTCCTTATAGAGCATCTACCTTCTTTGTTCTTACTGTATATATGACCATACTTTTATCCTATTTGTACATTCACCTGATGAAGACCACTGTGTGGTCGAAAGCTTGTGGAAAAATTAATTTGTTAGTCTGAAAAATGCTGTTTGTCTTTCATTTACTGTTATCATCTAGACTAACACGGCTACCCTATTTACTTCTTCAGTGGGATATTTGTATAACAGATATATTTATCATGAAATATTTATAGTTTAAACTGCATATGCTTATTTAAAATTGTTTAAATTGTCAGAAAATGTCAATTACCAATAATCAATCATTCAGGAGAATACATATTAAATGACCTAAAGAGTGAATATACCAATCCACAAGAGTAATGTTGAATATTTCGTTGTATCAACGACACATCAGCAGGAGACAGGACTTAGGCAGGCCAGGTCTTATATGCTGTGCTAATAAGCTGACAGGTGTTAGAAAGTATTGAGTAAAAAAAAAAAATTAGGTAATAAGGAAAGCGGTTTATAGAGGGCCTAATTCGATTGATACATTGTTCTTCCAACACACGAAGCACAATGAGAGTGAAAAATCAAGCGATATTTCAATCATTCAGCTGGCAATATATAAAGTGCACATGTCTTTGTTAAATGCTCATGATGCCATTTCATTCAAATCACTTTGCCATTCGTTTGCTCAAGCACAAGAGAACCAAAATAGTTGACCTTTTCCTATTGATTGCCCAAATGAGATCACTGTGACTTTTAAGTGGTGCCAAATCAAAACATTGATGACTCAAAAGCATCAAAATTTGTTATCATTTATTCCATATAAGAACATTTTTAAAAGTGATATACTGATCATGTAAGAATAATTTTGAGAATAAATTTGACAAATTTAAAGTTCATATTTTAATGCTATATTATTTGTTTAGATTTTTTAATGATGTGTGTTTGCCAACACTATCAAATGTTCTCGGCAAAAAACCGTTATATTTCCATATATAGTCATGATGTGCCTATATATGTTCATGATTATGTCATCACAACTATACACATGTTTTTTTGGTAAAATCTAATCAAAGCTAAAATGCGAAGCAAGTTTATATATACTTATTAAATAATGGTTTTATTTTGATTCAAATCTTAATTTTTTTATTAATTATGATCCTATTAAAAATGACAGTAACAGAGTGACATTTTATATAGATTTTATCTGCCATCTTTACAGTACTGGCATAGTTTACAAGTGTGTGGTTTTATATGAAGAAACCTCAGCATGTGTTATCAAGTTGTTTATTGTTTTTCCTGTGCTTTAATCTTTGCTTGTTTAAAATAATCATACCAATTTCCAAGGAACATCCGAACATCTAGTTGTGCTTATTATTGAGGCTTCACTTTTACATTTTAGTAGCACCTAAATCCTTTTTCAACTTGATTAAATCCTTTTTCAACTTGATTTATATTTTAACATATTAATTTTTATCAATTATACAATACATCTATCAACATATAATATGATGAAAAAACAACTATTTTTGTTGTAAAAGATCCCACTGATAATTATGGCATAATTAGCACACAAATTCACAAATAACATTCATGCGATCTTCATCATTTGCGTTCATGGACGATAGGATAGGTTTCATTTCTAAGAAACCATTGAAAATGCAAGGTATAGTGAATAAGAATTAATAATAATAGTAGGATGTTGCTGGTTTTTATTGTTTACAATTTCATTTATGCAAATCCAGTTGAGATTGTATTGCCCTATGGTCAATAAACTGTATGTCACTCTGTTACCGTCACTCCATTACCGGATAAGCATGCATTAATTATGTCATGGCATTACTATGTATTAACCAATTTTTAAATCAAAGGTATCTTATTAAAGGTTAATAAATACTAAAATGTGTAATTATCATTAGAAAATCATAGCTATCATTCATAGAGTTTTGACAATACATATTTTGGTAAAAAACCCATGTCCATTTTGGTGGGTGCAGAGTGTGAATCCATTCATGAGGCCATCAAAATGCTTATTTGTTGGAGCTTCCCAGAGGCTTCGCCCTGCAGGGGTCCTAGCGCCCCCCCATTTCAGTCTAAAGTCCACTTCGCTCGCAAAACGCACCTCCTGCTCAAAACTCCTGCCTACGTGCCTGATTGTGCATGCAGTTTAATGCCAATACAGACTAATACGTTCAATCATTCTGCTAGGTACCCAGTGGTGGTGTCAGAGTCTGAAATCTGGGGGAAGGGGAAAGTGAGTGGCAAGGTAAAATTATAGGGGGGGAAATATGCTAGGGTGGCCCGAGGTGGGCGTGGTCAGGCGTCGTTCAAAATATCTTGAAAATGGTCCAGGGTGGGGGGTGCGAAGCCCCCAAAAAAATATGACAATTTATGGGTTTCAGAGACTTATTTAATCGATTTTATAGGTGGATTGTCTACTAATAAGTAGAAAATGCATATAATTTTTTTCTCCACAATGGTTTTTCTTTTTTGGGGGGGAAAACAGCGAAGGTTTGAACCTCCGACCTTAAGGTTGTGAGAACAAAAGGAAATTGCTGTGCCAAGCTGCTAAGAACTACGTAATATATCCTGCACTAGATGTCAAATGTGATTTAATTTGATTTTTAATCTTTCATTCTTTACTCATACAATACTTCATACATCAACCTATATTTATATGGTACATCAATTTCCTCTATTTAAATACCCACAAAATAAGCATACTCAATGTGCAGTCATGTATTTTAACTTGTGCAAATTATTTTAACCAAAAAAAATGTAATTGATTTTTTTTTTCATTTCAGGATGTCTGAAAGTTTTCATCAAGATAATGTTGGAACATCTTGCAGTTTATGTCACATACCATATAAGGATTCTACATTACCATTTCCTGTTACATTGTCAAAATGTCAGGTTTGCAGGTGAGATTTGATATAGCGAATCGCTTTAGGCTTCTCGTTCAAAGTTTGCGTGTTTGAATATGAGACTGGCCACTTTTTTGTTTACTTGAATGAGGCAGTTTGTCTACAATGTTTCAGTGATACTTCATTTACACCCTTTTTACACTAACAGAAAATCCTTTAACAATTAGTACTAAGTTGTAACAACTTTGATCTCCCGAGATATTTTCTTCGTTTCATACACACAGTAATCCAAACCATGCAAAATCTTGGAAAAATAGCAGTAGGTCTAGATATCTAGGGTAGTCTTATGGTGCGCAACATTTTTTTTTCTGTTGCCTGACGGCAGTACGGACGCATGACCCTTGAATAACTCGGAAGATTTCAGAAGAATAAACAGGCCTCCCAGGGGTCCCCTGCAATATTTCATAAAGTTCTACATGAATTTGCTTTCACACTACACAAACCTGGTTACAACCTGTTACTAGTTGTTACTATTTACAAAATAGTGGCAGTGTGAAAAGGGTATTAAGCCATGCACTCACCGCTCCCTTTGAGCGATAGACTACACAACTCCCTCCGCTGATTGTTGGTGGCGGTCTGAACGGATCATCATTAGAAAGGATCCATTGCACGCATGTTGTGGCGTTGCGTTTTCCATAGAATGACGGCGGTCAACACAGCAGTGAGTGCCCGGGTTTAGTGAAAACTTTCCTTCCTCCGCCCTGGAGTTAAGTGAACATCTGTTAAAGTGATGATTGACAGTGTACGCAGAATCACATAACATGACTGGGATACGCTCAGTGAGTGTGCATAGTTGCCTCCAGATTCCTAAATACAGACAGCCTACAGCATATTTTATAGGGTGGGTTGGCATGTATGCATGCATTTGTTTTGAAGCAATAATTACGTTTGGCAATCCAGGAGAAATAATTGTATCAAAAGTATTTATGTTAGTAAATTTTTAGAATTAATTGAGTGATTAATCAGGTTTTTAAAAATGCTTTTCTTTTCTTATGACCAGAAAATACAAAGTACCTGACATACTGATTACAACAGTAGAACCGCCTGCAGAACTTCAGTACACGGGAAGAGGTTGCTTTTTACAGGCAAGGTAAGGCACAGGGGCAGTGCCAGTGGGTCTCGAGCCCAGCTGTCAAAGAGTCATTGTAAATTTTTTTGAGAAAAAGCTTATAATTATAGTTATAAATAATAATGATAACAATTACTTTTCATGTTTACATTTATTAGAATTTGCAGACCAAAAAAACATGCGCAGGGTGAGAGTAATGCAACACAAATTGGTGATGTGAGTTTTAAAATTTTTTTTTATAAGTAATATAAATAATTTAATAAATGGCAATCTTAGGGTCTCTCTTCTAATGAGCCCAATGGCCCTGATTAGGAGTATGTAGTATGTTTGATATAATATCACAGCACTTATTGGACAGTACATGCCTTGATATTATTGTATTATCCAGACATTATTAAACAGTGAGCTATTGTATAACCAAGGACTCTATTATCTGCCTTGTATTTGACAACCACTTATAAGACCAGTATAAATAAATAATTGCATGATGCATGGATCATCACTACTACTTATACTATTTTATATTCGGTTTTAATTTCTTGAAAACCTTTTTATTATCTTCAGGCACTGCCGTTTATGGAATATGAGTTGCACAGACGAATTATAAATAAACTGAAGGTCAGTTAAAGATATCATAATACTTTACTATCTTCAGACAAATTCTTAGTAAATTTTTTAGTAAATTTAGTTAATTATTTGGTTAAATACCAACATTAAATACCTACAGTACTATATCTAAAACTACTTTTTTTTTTTGTCATTTTAATATAATCTCTCTGTCACTTTCCAATTCCAGAATCATGGATTCAGATAAAACAAATTCACACCCTAAACCTTCATATGCCCTTATATGAAAAAACATCATGTGATTAAACCTCATATGATATACCCTTATATAAAAATTAAAAAAACATACGATACACTCGTAGTATGGAAATCAATGAACATCTTAAAATATACCACTGAAATGAACAAAACTACATTCTAGACGAACGTGTTTAGTGTGGTTACAAATAAGCGCACAAGAAACAAAATATCATCATTGTTGAACAAATTATACAGAATTATCATCCATATTTTTGTATTGAATGCAGCTGAGGCCATTCCTTTCAGGAAAATTTACTCGATTGCTAATTTCAGTACATTTCATATATGGATTTGTCTGGCATTGTTTCTGTAAATGTAATTACTGTGGCTTTTGTTGTATCTAGCAAAACAATTAGTCTTTTTATATGCAGACTATGTGCATTCAGATAAAAAAAAGAGAATTTCACCTTTGTCAAAACATTGATAAATTATGTTGGAGATAGATGTTGAATTTTTGGAGGTAATCATCATTAACCAACTACGTCATTGTGTGCACTTTTGCACTTAACCAAAACTGTCAATTAAAGTGTTGATATCTAACGATCGTGTTCAATTGAGATTACGGCCAATTCATTGAACCTCTCTTGACACATCGTTGATATTTTTTAAGTTTTTATCAACTTCAGTTTAAAACTGTCAGGGCATCATTGGATGAAATTATGGTTTATATTATATTTCTTTTAAATTACAATGTCAGGCCCCCCTCATGCCTGGGGACCCTGGCGCTCTGCCCCCGCCAGCGCTCGAGCGGGATGCAACTGAGTTTACGATTGCCATTCATTTTTCATAAATCTCATGTTTATTTTTATGCTCTTGTATGTTTTTTTTATTCAAAGGTAAAGGGTATGAATGCACTGTTTGGGTTGCGAGTCCAGGTGATAGTGGGGGAGGAACTACTTGTTGGAACAGCAGTACGTATAGTTTTGTTTATACCATAATTTCTAATCCTGATATAGTGAGTAGTTATCCTGTTGGAGAACAGTAATTTACAGGGGTGGCACCAGGATTAGTTGACTAATAAAGGGAGTGAACAACTGCGAAGCATTGTATTTTAAATAAATTTTATATAGTAGATTGCATGTTAGCAATCGTTACACTGAAGATGGCGAAGGATTTGCCGAAACATGTCTGTTTTGTACCAAGTTTTATAATAAAATTCATTAGGCCTTGCCTATATGGTATTGCGGTTGAAAATTATTGTGGTATTCTTAAGATGTATTTGCTGTCTGCTACTACACAGAATATTAATAATAGTTTTTCATTTGTATTTCAGACTGGGACAGCTGTTTATATAAGTGCTCTTCCTCCCCCTTCAGCGTTAAAATTGACAGGGAAGGTTAGTAAACATGGAATATAATCAAAAAGTAACCTTTCTCAGGATTGTAGTTTCTAATGACTAAATGACTTTACCTTATCCTTGAGATGTGTTGGGACAGCCAGGAGACAGGGTACTGAAGTCTGCTGTGAGTCGCAGGAACTTAATGGAAATCGGAATGATCTCCACATTCCTGCGAGTAAGCAAAAATATGGAAACTAACCCATCTCCTGCAAATCATGATGTTTGCATGCTCTTAGAGAATTTAATTTCTTTAAAGACCTATACAGATTCATCAGCAACGTTAATATATTCGTAATTGTATTAATAGATCATCAGCTTTTCTCTTTCTGTTGAAATTCAACATGTTACTGATAGTGTTAGCCTTAAAAACTGACAAAAAAAATAGCAACATTAATGTATTCGTAATTGTATTAATAGATCATCAGCTTGTCTCTTTCTCTTTCTGTTGAAATTCTACATGTGACTGATAGTGTTAGCCTTAAAAACTGACAAACAAATAGCAAAAATTATTAATTCTCCTTCAGAGAGGCAAGGGTAATAACATTAAATAAATCTACCTTGAAAGGAAAAAGAATGTTTCTCATAGATAACTAACAAAATGAAATGTATTTTTAAAGTAAGGAAGTAATGAATAACTGTGTGTCTTCCGAGCTAATTGGTCATTCGTTTGTTCCAAGACCCCATGGTCATTTATTTGTATTTAGGCCTTTGACCCATTTACATAACAAAACAACATTTAGAGAACAGCAGAAAGTAAATCTAAATAAAGGTAAATAAAGATATTTTGATAAATTTTATAAAACATTACAATCATTTGATGAAATTAATCGATGGAACTTAGAAATAGTTGGGTTTTATATAAAAGAAAGATGGAAGTTTTTCCTATTGTCATTTTAACGTAAACATACTGAAGTAAAATGCAGTTCATCTTCTATGCATTGATCTTAGCATAATTTACATATTCTATTGTTTTTGCTTACTATATTCCATATGCCTTTCTCTATTTCTAAATCTAGAATACCAATCAAAATTTTGTTAACATACTTCAATAATAGAATCTGTCCATAAATCATGAATAATTTTGTAATTTAAACTCATTTTTAAAGGATTTAAAATAATTTAATCTTGAATATGTTTTGACTTTTTCATTAAAATGTTGTTGTTCTATATCAGTTAGTCTCAGTTTGAGCTCAGAGATAAAAGAAGCAAACATGATGTAACCAACATAATTCATTTCATTCAATTGTTTTAAATTGAAGAAGATGAAATTCATAAATATAACCATCCTTGTCTATAACATGTAACATGTATTCTAGCTAACTTATAACACAATTTATAATGTACAATTTGCTAGAGAATAGCTATAGGCCTACCTAATATATTTTATAGTATTCATTATCTATTATTTTCATTATCTACAGACTGGTAATATTGATGAGGATGATAAAAAAATTTCAAGTCTTCAAAAACGGATTTCTGATGCAATTGCTAAAAATAAAGAACAGTACAACTTGACTACCACAGTAAGTTATTTATAGAAGTAACATAGAGTTTGGTATAGTTACCTGACTACAATAGAACCCCCTACTAAGGGGACACGTTCGGGACTTAAAAAAGTATCCCCTTAATAGGGGTGTCCCCTAAATAGGGATACCCCTATTCGGGGGTCACTAACCAAAAATGTGAAATTGTCCCTTTAATAGGGGATTTTGGCATGTTTGCATTTAACCATAACATACATTATTTATAATGTAATTTTTATTGACATAAGATTCAGTTACAGCAGAATTAGAACTAATTTATAGCAATAATTAGCAATGCAAAATTTATTTATATGAAATCAGCAGAAATGTACTTAAAACAACAATAGCTTTATATGTTCCCAATCTTATTTCATGATGCAGTGTTATTGACCAAGTATCATTTTTTTTTTTAAATATTGAGCTTTTTATTGGATAGTAGGATGAATGGAGTATTTTGTTTTGGTATAGATTAGAATCCTATATGAAAGTACACAAAAAAAAAAGGAATCCCCATGGTTATGGGTCAAAATTTACAAAATTGGTTTATATGGGGTATCACATGCAGTAAGACTATACCAATTTTCACTTTAAGAATTCAGGGGGTGGGGGGTGGAAATTCTGGTTTATTGCTCAAAGGGTCTCAATATAGTAAAGTTAAATGAATTTTTCTTATTTTAAAGTCAGGCTCCGGAGGAAAAACATTTTTTGATATGTTGTAGAACTGATTTTTCTAAGACAGAAAAAAGTTGTTTGACGAAAAACTGGGGAACGGTGAATGAGATACAGATTTTTTAATATTTAAAAACTGGAGGAATAAGGTGTAAAAATGGACAGTTATTAATATTAAAAAATCTGTATCTCATTCACCGTTCCCCAGTTTTTCGTCAAACAACTTTTTTCTGTCTTAGAAAAATCAGTTCTGCAACATATCAAAACATTTTTTTCCTCCGGAGCCTGACTTTAAGACTGCTGTGTTGTTTTGATACAATGGGAAAAAAAATAAGTGTCCCTTTAATAGGGGTTACTTGACCATTTGGCTTACTCAGAAAGTGTTCCTGTCCCCTTAATAGGGGCTGGCTGTACTGTATAAAATATATATTGCTCCTAATTTAATGTAAAATTGTCACCTTAATATGGGTGTCCCCTGAATAGTAATGCAGAATAACATAAAATTAAATACTAACTAAAAATTATGTAAGAAAACAAGTAGAACTGGACCTGGATTTCAAACATTAAATACAAGATCACATTGGTAAGCAATACATGGGGCAACTTCACCCTTCCCCTTCCCCACCCTTTTGGAAAGTATAAAAAGAAAAACAGAAAAAAGAAAGAAAGAAAAAGAAATAATTGATCGCCAAAAATGGCTCGGAGGTAATTTTCGGGCATCTAGAAAACCGGTCTCCCCAAGGTAGTGTTGTCTCGATCGGCCCCACTTTTGGTTCCCACTTTCGGACATCTCTGTATCCGCCCCTGAATACCACTTTATTAGGATGTATAAAATATTGTAAAGGACACTATCCTAGCATACCAGAAGCCAATCTAAATCTTACAAAAGATTTATTTCCTAATCCTCAATCCCCACTTCCTTACAAAACAAACAAATTTCAATACAATGTTGATGTAGAGTCCTGGTGTAATTGTATGTGTTTTAATTTGACATTTGATTGCCATTTTTCCACAGTGCTTGTTAAGGAAAATTAATTGCTAATTTTATGAAAGGTTCAGGTGGTAGCACTGATGAAAATGAAATGCTCATTAAGTATTTGAAAAACATGTTTTTCCTAAATAAGATTGAAATCAAAAATCTCAGAAATAATTTGTAAAACATTTTTTTTTGCCACCAGGACCATACAACTGAATTAACAGATAGTCCAAAACACACAGACAGTCAATTGGATGTTGATGACCTCGGTGATTCACAACTATATAGAGACGCGTACATATTTGAAGTAAGTCTACATGCACACCTGCACACCTGCACTTTCAGAATTTTCTTTCCGACTCAACCGTATTTAAAAGAACAGCTTTCTCATTGACTGTAAACTGGTACAGTAGGAGCTGTTGTGTGTGTGTGAAGAACTGTGGAGATTCTTTAAGGTGTTTGGTCCCTGGCTCAATTTCAGACGCTGCTCTTGTTTAGGTTGTTCGTCCTGTGTGCAATGTGGCCCATGTACACATTATATAGACCGGGATCCGGAGGGTACAGGATGGAAAACTGGACCCCCTGTTGTGGAAGAAGTCAATCATTTAGTTGGGTAACACTGCTTAAATAGTATATTTACAGTCATGGTCATCTAATGTCGAGGTGCCTATTCTTAAATTTGTGCAGGGATGATGTGGGATCTTTTCCCCTATCCACACTCCTGAGTCTAACATCTTTGGCATTCAACATGAACTGTTTTTGGCTTGTTTAACATGAACATTATATAGAGAAAACAGACTTGAATTTTAAACTTGACATATTATTAATGTATCTTCTTATATGGTATTCAATTAGAAAACTATCCCAACATTTTTTGAAATAAATTCATTTGGATCCAAATATAATTTGTATGAAATTTTCATTTGTGTTGATCCAGCAAGAAAAACAAAACAATAGTACTCACACTACGTTTCGCGAACGATCCGTTCGCTTTCTCAAGTAGACTGGTGATGTTATCGCCAGTCTGGTCTGACGTCACCTCTGTGTTGTTGAGGTCGAAGTGCATCGCTGCGACGTCGATGAGCCCCCCCCCTTCTTAGTGTTGTGGTCCAATATGATATCATCATAGATATGTGATAGAATGTGTCCTCCTTGTCTTCACCAGTACATATCATACAATTTATCATATAGCATTTTAGCATTTCTCAAGTACTTATTGGGTGAATCAATTAGTACCAAGGTTCCTTATCTCAAATTACAGTAAATGACATTGTCTATCCTCAGTGCAGCGTAGTGCATTAGCAGCACCCTGGGGTCCAACTTAAAAAAAGGGGCGATGAATGTTTGTTGGGAATCATCTCTAGTGTATGTGTAAAAAAATTTCCTGCACGTCCATTTATAACTAGTGATGCTGGTTCTGGTAACAATAAGGACAGCATGTTTTGTAACACCATACATGATTGGAAAGTATAATACATACTCCAAGTATTGAAATACACGCCATCGTGTTGGGATTCAATATTTCGACATTAATTATGTCATCATCAGGAATGATGAAAGTTCCTGATGATGACATAATTAATGTCGAAATATTGAATCCCAACACGATGGCGTGTATTTCAATACTTGGAGTATGTATTATACTTTCTTATCTGAGATTAATCAGTGGACCTTTCGGTTCATACATGATTGGTTGTATAACCTTCAGCTCAATAATCATTTACAGTCTCCTTCTGACTATTAAATTATAATTAATAATATAGCTATAGCCTTATTCAAATTGAATAACATTGATTTGTAAATGACCCTTTAGCCTATTGCAAATAATGATTGGCTACCGTTAAAACACAAGGGAAGAAGAAAACTAGCCATTATAACCAGATGGATGCATATATTGACCTTTAACTGGCCTAAATATATTCAGACTAAGCTGAGGGATCAGATCCAAATTCAAATGCAAATGGAGTCTATCTTTAATTATCTGTAATTGCAAGAAAATGAAAATAAATATTTGTTTGCAATAGAAATGATGTACAGACAGAAAAAAGAAATGAAATCCTAGCTTGGTCTTGAACCAGGGTGTGCTGTAACATTCAGGAATGCTACTAGGCTCTCACATTTTTGAGTTTTTTTTTTTATCCAAAACTTTTATCCCCCTTGTTGATTTTATTTTATAGATTGATGATGCTGATAACAAGGAAATTGCTGATGCCCTGCTAGAACCAGACCTGCCAGCAGGTGGTACCCAACAAAAAAACAGACAAATTAAAATATGATACCCCTTTTACACTGCAAGAAAAATTGTGTTATAGTGTAAACGTCAAAAAGTCCTACTAGGGTTGCCAAAAATTCCGGAAGGGACGTGCGGGACACATTCAGCGTAGGACAATCCGGGTGCATTCCGGAGTCGCCAGTGTAAACAGCACCGAATTTGATTCCGGAATTAGGCCTTACCTAGCGCCTATTGCATGTATTGTTCGATGTAAATGAGAAATGCACCCGGGATTACTCCGGAAATAACCCGGGTTGATTCTGCCTTTGGCAGTGTAAAAGGGGTATGAGTCTTGCCATCCCAAAACCAGCATCAGTGAATATTGACTTTTTAATGTATTCTTAATTTATACATTAAAAGCTTAAAATTATGGATCATATAGTGAAATTGATTTACTATTGGCAAAGTTATGAGAGAAAAATGTTACAGCTTCTCTATACTAAAGTATACAATACTACCACATTCTCATGCTAATTGCTCAGTTTTAGCAATTAACGACTGTACACTGGTTTTGGAATGACAAGCCTCATATGAGTAGTAGCCACACTAGCCCAGCTATTGAGTTCAATAAAATTAATTTTTAACTTTTCTAATGTAATTATTTGAATGTTTTGATATTTCTATATGTATTTTTAATTTTGAATTAATTGACGTTTTTGAAATTTAATTAAAATAATATGGTGTATATTTATATATTTATATTTATTTTTGTAATATGATATAAATTTTTAACTTTTCTACTGGAATTATTTGAATGTTTTGATATTTCGATATGTATTTTTCCACCTGACTTGTTTTCCTATGTTGTCTTTATTTGTTGATTGTAAACAAACGTTTTCAGCCTTTGTCTGTTGTTTTGTTTTTTGTGTTATACCTTAATAAATAAATAAACCTAAAGTTACATAAAGAGGTCATTTATGCTTGTTGTTGATTGGTCTAACAAAAAAAACGTTCACGATACAAATGACTCTCAGATCCATCTCTCAAGATCCGGACACCGGATTGGAAATTGTACAAAATAAATGTGAACTGTCCTATTCTTTACCGCGGAACTCATTTTGCACGATTTTTTGTCCGGGCACCGGACCGGAACCGGGCTTTGATGTGAAAATAGCTTAATACTGACTATTGACATTGTTATGTTACATATCGACAATATGTAGTTTGTTACGTTATGTTGTTTACAACAATTGTCTTTCTTACAGGCTTCTTTAGTTGTAGTACTGAAAAAATGCCAGGAGATCTCAATTTGACAAAACAAGTACAGGTAATATTTTTGATGTTTCTTTAATACTCAATTTAAATCATAGTCAAAAAACAAAAATAATGTTAAAAATAACATTACAACAATTTGATGAAAGTTTAGAAAGTTAATTTTTGAAAAATAATATCAATAAAATCATTATTTACAATTAATTATGAATGTTTGGTATATTACAATAATTTTTTTTTTTTTTTTGTAAATTGTTATTGTCGAAATAAGACTGTCATAATTGTTATTACTAGACTGTGAATCTTGTGTGGCGACAGAGCATGAAGCAACCATCCAATCAGAACTTGTCACGGATATTTGAAAATCTTCTTGAGGTAACCTTTGACTTGCACATTAAAAACATCTACATAGTTTTGTTAATTTTGATAGGTTTTTTTCTTATTATCATAACATTTTTTTTCACTTTCAGAGCCTTTGCTTCAAACTTAGGGCATTATATCCTTGTTGTTTGTGTTCGTTGCAATTCGATGTCGCTCTTCCAGAAGATGAAATCATTCAGGTATATCACATGATAGATGTCACATGATATAAATCATTTATGTGTCATTTGTGTGGTGATGTATATCACACAGTGTGCCACATTTATTGTCACATTATGTATATCAGCACATGAAAGGTGTCACTTTGATTGACATCATATGATAGATGTCACATGATGCATTAATAATGTTAACATGTTACAGTATTATTATCTAATGTTTTTAAATTGTACACAAAATACCTTGTTAGATATGGGTGACAGCGGCATTATTAGAAGTAGCCGACTCAAAATCAACTCCAAAAAAGAAAGGTAGGAATTTCATTTAAAAAATGCATTATAACATGTATTTAGAGCATACAATAGATTAATATTTAGTGTACATTTGTTTTATCTGATCTCATTTTAATTATAATGAAATACAGTTTGCTCAATTCAGTGGTTCATCCAGGGAACGACATAAGGAGTGTTTGAATGTATAGTGTGTTTAAAACATTACTTAAATTCTTCTGCAAAGAATGCTGATAATGTGTAAATGTTTTGTTCCCTTTTTCCTAGGCCCAAGAAATTCAGCTGATGCTGATTTGATGTTTGCAATAGAGGAGTTATCCCCACCCTCACCCCAGCAGTCACAGACCCCAGTCAAAGGTAACTGTCAGCCTAATGCACATGCTAAAGCTTTTTGTACCTGTGATATGCTGTGGTTGTGAAACATATATCTCTGCCTCACCACTTACCTAAATAAAAGTAAAATTGAGGGCATAATCATATCCTATCAATTTTGGACCTCGCAATATATATTGTGATATAAACCCCATATTACAATAATTATAGTACACACTAGTGCTTGTATATCAGTTTGCTAGATGAACAGAATGAAAATATATACTAAATGTGAATTATTGTTTATTTACATTAATATGTTTAGCAGCATACTGCGAATTTAACCTTGCCTCCTCCTTCCCTATTTTCTTTTGTCTCTAATAAACTGTACTTTCCCCTCCTAAGCATTTTTTTTTTCAGTCACCAGGTAAAAATTGTCTTTTGTCATTGTAATGGAGAGCAGACAAGAATCAACCAAAAATCCATAATTTATACATCACATCATTTACATACACATTTTTTTTGTTTTCAGGTGTAAAGTCTGCTACAAAATTAGACAAAAAACTTCAGATAAAGGTAACACAAAATTTGTAATAAATTATAAACCTTATTTAAGTCAGTCTATAGGCAGTTTAACAATAATATGAATTTAATAATGTCCTTTCATATTTGCCAAAAGGAGTGGACCTATGGCAGGTTGGTTAAGGTGTGTGCCTTCCAAATTTAGGGTCGTGGGTTTAAATCATTTAATAGGTCAAGATTTATTTCAACAACTAACAGCATGCTGTTACTATCCCATTTACCAGCAAACCCTTTAAAAGGGCATTCAGACAGGTTGGTGAACCAGGTTTTGCCAGAATCTTATCTCAATAATCCAATTAAACATCAAAGAAGAATACCTCTACTTAAGAGTCATTATCACAGCATGCATTGCTGTTTCTCATTAAATTACCAGTATAGTATTTAAAAACCATCCTGGAGAATTTTAAAAACCTGTTGTTCAAATAAATTTGGCATTTTTATTACCTTAGAGCCCTATAATTCCAGATAAAAATCATAATAGATATGCTTTTGAATTTTAAAAATCAATGACTTATGTTAGAAGTTACAACATCGTTTTTGGTTTAATTGTGCTAGTCTTCTTATGAACTATTCACAACTAATGAGCCTCACTGTTAATCTTGTTACAAAATTGCCTGAAGCAGTAATTAATAGAGATAAGAAGAGATCGGCAAAACCTGGTTCAAAAATTGAAAATTGGTAAATGGTGAAGTTTCCTCATGGCCCATGTAATATAGTGGTGGTAAGATTTGTTTTTTGTTAAATATATATACTTTTTTAATTCAGGAAATGTCTGTGTACCCTGAAGTGCAGTTGACACCGTTACCCAACATACCAGGAGCACATATTGACGAGTACCTTGGCAACATCAACATCTTTTTCATCCGTGAATCAACATCATTAACACAGGTGATTTGGTTTTTTCCTTTCTATTTGTATTAACTGTGCCACTTTTACAACACACATACAAGTATTTAATGTATCTGCAGTATAAACAAAGAGTAAAGAAAATAATTACAAACTATTTGTTTTGTTGTGTATGCTTGTTTAAATGTTAAATGTTTGTATAGCCTTTTTATAAATGTCTAATTATTTTGGTTGTTGGTTTTGTTGTAATGTAAATGAAAATTATGATTTTAGCTGAATAATTTTAGTACAGTATTTGTAAAATAAAACCAAAATTTCATTAAAAGTTATTTTAGTCTAGACATATCATAAGTTCTGTCCAGATTATCAAATTTCCTTTGACAAAAATTGTTGTATGCCCATATATAATCATATATGGTCATGATGTGATGTCATCATGAACATATTTGGACAGGACTTTACTTAATTTTTACTCATCATGATTTGAACCCAAGAACCCTAGTTACGATCTTATGATGATAAAAGAAAATATATTTTATCAGTTAATTGTGTATCATGCAATACCTTGAGGAAAAATACTACCTTGAGGGGAAAGCTCAACTGAGAATATCAGCCTATTATTGCAGACAAAAGTAATCAGAGGGTCTTGGGTTTTAAGAAAGAGTGTAGAATAGCTAGAGGTCCGAATGTTGGGATTTCCTGGAAACGGAATCCTATCTCAAAAAGTATTACCATTCAGTGGGTGTCATTCAAAAAGGAGATATACACTGAAAGTTGTTTGTATCAAAAGTAACATATAAAGAACGCCTTTTCCAAATTTTTAACTCTATCCAAATTCGAGTAGAGTGCCCCTGTATCCCTTGGTAGTAATTTTTTTGTGTCAGACCTTTTGCTATTCTATAGTCTGTGGTTTTAATCTCAATGTGGCAATACTCTTTTCTCAAACAATATATTAAGTACTTTACCTGTGATTGAATTGCCTTGGGCTATCCTTAATTTCTTTAGAATGAGGTACACATTTATCTCGAGTGATGCTTTTTTTCTAGGGTGGAGGTGTAAATGGATTTATGCATCATTTTATCACAGAGGTGAATGCGATGGTGAGATCACATGTTGCAGCTTTAGGTGGAAATGCTCTTGTTGTGTATACTATGATAGATTGTATTTTAATGGAAAATCCGCATAAAAATCAGGTAATTTAGTTATGAAATTATGGTATGTTTTCTCTTAACCTATATACTCCTGCATTACATTTTTGTATAATGATCAAACTCAAGATAAAAATAAAGCCCTATTTTAGAAAGTAGTTATTCTAGGTGCTGTTAATATTTTGCAACCATTATTTTCAATAATTTTATTATTATTGTTATTATTTCTCTGTGTTTAACAGTTGCAGCAAATTTTTTTTCGATGTTACATCAGTATATGCAGTAGTGCATTTTAAATATACATAATGTACATTAAAAATTAAAAATGTTGTAAGTGAAATATAAACTGTTGAAATAGTAAAACAAATTGACTATGACTGTTGTTATTCATTATTACTGGTATATTTATATCACGAACATTTTATATTAAGATCGTAAGCTGGGGTTTCTGGTATTGGAAAAATCATCATTTCTAATATAATTATTACTATCTGTTATTGTCATTATTTTAACATATATTTACTTTCCTTGCAGTGCCAGTGTTTGGTCAACGTTAGTGGAGATGCAGTACATGTGCAATACGATAGTGATGTGATGTATATTGGCCAGCGCGTTGGAGAATCTCAAGGTTCATCGCCTCGCAACATTCCTCAGAGCGAATCATGATAAAGTGCTACATTCTGTATATGTAGTTCAGATGATGGCGATCACTTTACAAAGACAAATTATATAAATATGTAACTTTGAAATTATTATGCAAGTTCCACTGTTTTGGAGTTCTGTCTTTCTTTTAATGCTTTTTCTCTTATAAATTTCCTTTTTTTTTAACCATCACTGTTCATTCTCCTTTTTATTTTTTGTTGTTATGAATCGAACCTAGGAATTTTTGGAAGTAAGAAGACAAGTGGAGTTGTGTTTGGTTGTGAGATTTATTGAGAATAAGTCCTGCTATCACAGGAATTGAACCCAGAATCCTGGAATTAGAAGGCAAGCATCTTAACCACTAAGCTATTCAACTCCACTACAAATTTATTGAATTAGGCCAGTGAGGTTTATCTTATATTTATTAGGAACCTTATCCATCCATTTGTACAGTTTTTTCCAATGTTTTGTTTTAAAACAAATAAAGATTAACAATAGTAAACAATAGTGTGAAACATGGGCGTTAAAAGTAAGCAATTAGAAAAACATTGGATTGTTTGTCTTTATTTGGAGTACTGTATGATATGTACTAGCAAGGAGGTTAAAATAAAATTTGGAAGAGATGTTACTAATTACTCTACATATTTTGATAATGCCTGTAATGGTTTTTTTTAAGGTTTAGTAGGGCTTATCCATCCATTTTGTACAGTTTCTTCCAATGTTTTGTTGCGTATTCTTATACAGCATATAAACCTTGAAGCCAAATGGGTGTGAGTTTGAGACCAATTCTTGACACATTGCTTCTTCAAGATATTTTATCTCTGTTTATATCTCTATAAAGCCTAGACTAGACTATCAAATTTTATGACAAAAATATGTGACATGCCCAAATACGGTCATGATGACATCACATCATTACCATATAGGCACATCATGACTATATATGGGCGTACAAAAGTTTTTTGTCTAAGAAAATTTTATAGTTTGGCCAGAGCTGTTGGACCATGGACGATTTTTTAACAAACTTAAGTATTGCTGCATATGTGTGTACTCTTTACAGTATGTCCTTTAAAATGATATTATTTCAGCAGGTTTTATGCTGTCTGGTAGATCAGTTGTCTTATTGTTGGGTTGCGATGATAAATGGATTAATTTTCTCTTTATTTCAAGTTCCCACACAATGGTCCTAACAGAGAACAGTAAAAACAAATCCCAAAAATATAGAATATTGAGAATCAGGGCTGGGTTTATTTATTTATTTTTTTTTTCTGGCATATTATTTCTGTATATTATTTTACTTGAACAAGTATGTTTCCATGAATTTTTGTTAAGTGTGCTTGAGCTTTATTATATAAACATGAAAAGAAGTTGCAAACATATTGTTGTAAACAGTGAATATGATTTCATCATCATATCACATAAGCATTAATTAATTTGTTTTTAAATAATTCTTTTATAGAATATTGAGAATCAGGGCTGGGTTTATTTTATTATTTTTTTCTGGCATATTATTTCTGTATATTATTTTACTTGAACAAGTATGTTTCCATGAATTTGTGTTGAGTGTGCTTGAGCTTTATTATACAAGCATGAAAAGAAGTTGCAAACATATTGTTGTAAACAGTGAACATGATTTTATAGCACATAAACATTAATTTGTTTTTAAATAATTGTTTTATACATATTGTAATTGATCATGTCTATAAACTGTTCAATATTGTGGGATGTGTGCTGAGACTGTGATAATTTTCATCATACAGTTATAACTTGCAATGGCCCAATACTCTATACAAATATGTATAAACGCAATAACAAAGAAAAGTTTGAAATCAAATATTATTAGTTATACTTGAATGTGTGACCAAAATTAGCCAATCATTATCAGCTTTAAATGTCAAAAAATATATAAGCCTGACAGGCCTACATGAGGTTATAAAAACACTATCGATTGGATAATGAATGCTTTATATTCTTGATTTTTGTTATTTTTTTTTTAAAGAAGTGGTTAAAGTCTTTCAACTTCCTCTTCCATCTTTATCATGTTGGTTATTAAAGTAGTAATCCCACATCTGTAAATTTTTAGTTGATATTCATCCTTTGCCTGTTGAAAATGTTAATATCCTGACCTATCTAGTTGCAATGGAGCATGTGACCTATTGCATCTTTCTGGAGTGTCAATCAAAATTTACAACTTACCAATCAGAACATGGCCATGAATACGCGCCTTTCTAACAAGCACACGTGTTGTATTACCAACGCACTTGTTTGCGTATTTTTTGAAACTGTCATTTTGTGGAATCATAGCAACAATATTCCAGGGGCAGGCCTTAGCGTAAAGGTACATTCCAGATGCACTGGGTGATTTTTAGAATTTCTGTACATGCAAAAATGACATTGAGGGAGACTGACACTTCAGAAAATTGATGTATATTTGATGATAATGCAATAATTATATAATTTTAAATGTTACTTTATAAGTTGTTTCAGATAATGTGATGAATGTTTACTCAATTTAACAGTATGTACGAAACATTCAAATCAAGGTGTATGTAACTGCTGTAGTACGCTCGCATCTGTGTGATTGATATACAAGTACTTTAGTGTCTTTGCCGCTAACTCACGGTAATGTTATACAGTACACTATCATTCAGTCATACACAATCGTGTTTCAGATGTGCCGCCTCTCCCTATGACTGTTAAGCCGGCAACTGTGTTGTATGACGAATCCAACTCCGCTCCCTGTGAACACTAGAAGACAACGATCCGTTGCATGTGCGTCGCCACATTGCGTTCTTTATAGAATTGTGCCCGGTGAGTGCCCGGCTTAAAGCTACGTTCACATCAAGCCCGGACCGGTCCAGAGCCCGGACAAAAAATTGTGAGTTGCTACGTATTTTGAACGCTGTGTTCACATCGCGCATGGGACACGGTTGTTGGGTAAAGTACGTATGCGTTCGATTGGTTTGAACCAAGCAAGCTTGTTGTTGATTGGTCCAAGAAAATAAAAACGCACGATTTCAGGATACAAATGGCTCTCAGATCCGGAGTCCGAATTGAAAATCGTATGAATTTTATGTGAACAGTCCTATTCTTTACCACTGAACCCATTTTTCACAATTTTTTCTCCGGATTCCGGGCTTGATGTGAACGTAGCTTTAAGCTCTGTCCAGACTATTACATTTTCTTACAAAAAACTCTTGTATGCCCATATATAGTCATGATGTGTCTATATATGTCCATGATGTGATGTCATCACGACCATATTTAGCGACCAATGTCACATTTTTTTTGTCAAATAAAAATTGATAGTGTGGACATGGCTTTGGCAAATAGTAGTACTTCTTTCCTCAGACAGGGTTTGATCAAATATTGACTTGGCAAACACATGTATAATGTTCAACTATTCAATGAATGTTCTTAAATTACTGTCATTTGAATAGGCCTACTGTTGTTGAATTACAATAAAGTTTTATTTAATGTGTCTAAAATAATATCAGTTTGGGTTAGTGGTTCATATTTTTGTAAATTTAATGATCAAGTGTATAATTTTTAATTTGGTGAAGTAGGTTAATTATGAGGATGGTGATGATGACAACGACGGTGGTGGCGGCAACGACGATAATGGAGATATATTTTATTTTATTTTATTTATTTTTTTGCCTGAAGGTTTTCCCACTCCGAAATGAAATCTGGGCGCAAGATGATTTTGGCATTCACTTGTAACTTAATAATACAGGGATAATTGATGTCTTTTCTTTGTACACACTCAAACAAACAAAAGAACAGCAACAACAACATCATGAATAAATGTTTTAATTTTCGAAGTTTCTATCTTAGAAGACGTACAACAATGTTTATTATTTTCAAAGACACCTCAATATTGGAGATGTTTTTAGTAATGACAGTGTTCTGTTTTGTTGTTTTTTTTTTAAATCCAAACTCACGTTTCACCTTCACAATTGTACGCTATGTTGAAATTAAAAATAAAGGATTCATAAAATAATATTGATAAAAAACAGTATTTGTGATGCACGAAGGTAAGAACTTATATTTGTGAGTAAGGTGTTGTATTATAAGTGTTTCATTGCTTTGCCCCGTTTATTGATTTTATTTCTTGAGATAACAACGAACCTCGATCCCTAGTTTACAATTATTAGTATTACCTGGAGAAGCAGGATATTAAAAAATCTGAGACAAAACGTAATAAAATATAAAGAAACGGGGAAAAAAAAACACCAGAACTAATAAAAAATGTTAGCTAGCGTTTCGCGATTAGCGTTGCGGTTGGAGATGCAAATTTGTGTCTCTGTGATTATCATATTCATGCATTTGGCGAATGCATGAGTTTCGATTCACAGTTCCATCCATATCTGGAATGAAGTTTTTAAGATGATTTGGGTGCTTAGGCTACTGGTAATGACACTTCACTGAATGTATGCAGGATAAATATGTCTATTATTAATGCTTTGTACATTCTCAAATGCATTCAATTGTATTTTCAGAGAAATAATAATAGAATCAATCTATCTATCTATCTACCAACTTTTATACCTACTTCCGGTGGATGCATAGCGCGAAGTAAATGTTGCATTAAATATTTTTTTATTTTATTTTTTTTAAAACATCTTTAAGCAGGATAACATATACAGACGAGATCTAAACGCTGTTTTACAATATACCCTAGTCCCTCAGAAACACTGTACAACAAAAACAAACAATAAGGCAACCAGAACAAAATGTAAAATACAAATAGTAAAAACTTTGGTCGAAAACTAACCCCCGCTGGACACCGACCCCGGTATTTCAGAGACAAGGTTTCGGGGCCAGGAATTACCGTTCAATGTAAGGCTTAATTACATCACCCATACTTTCGCTCCAGCGATTTTTAAAGAGGCATTCATTACAAATCAGTTTGGGGATAACGTTAAGCGAGTGAACATAGACCTATCTCGTAGAATATCCATGTTGGTCAACAATAATCAGAAAGGAGGTGCAATAACATTTAGTCCTATACATAAACATGTTAGGGCGTAATCTCTACGTTCATCAAGAAGTTTCCAATTATTTTGTTTAATAAGATCGATCACACGAAAATTTATAAAATCAAAGAACCTCAGTATAGTATAGAAAGTTTTTTGTGCACTGACAGTAATTTTTACCATAATAATTGTTCGTTATGGTGAAATTGAATTTAAAATAGACATTTAATGCTAGGTAAGACCTAATATTAGTGAATGCAGCGTCCTATAAAATGAACCCTCATTCCTCTGAGATAAATATTATTTGTACCTAGAGAGGCAGAATATGAACAAATTAAGAGTTTCGCAAATAAAATTTTTCAAAGTAAAAGTATCGTAGCAGGTTATTTTGCCTGCGTCTACCTACTGATTTATTCTTACGATGAGACATACGTGGATCCACATCAACAACACCGATTGAATATGAATTATATATATATATATATGAATTATATATATATATGTGAATTAATTGTTTGCGATTTAAAAGTAAGCTTTGATATGCTTAAACCTATTAATAACAATGCCTACACTGAATTTGATATGTTTTAAAGAAGTATCTGTTTAATTGTCAAAAGATTATTGCAACATTCACGAACGTAAACGTTATAATAATAATTGTCGACTTATATAGCGCATATTGTAGGGACCCACTTGTACCCCTGGGTGGAGAGAGAAAGTGCCTTGTCCAAGGACGCAGGCGACGTGCACAGCGAGTGTTTTGAACCCCCGACCTCAAGGTTGGTATATACGTATTTATGGTTCACATAGGCTATGATCCGGTTGGAACACTGAGCTGCAACCTTATATAAATAAAATTGTTAGCTGGGATTTTTCGAGACTAACATAGCCTTAAATTAAAACGCATCGTGAGAATTTGTTCTAATATAGGATTTAAAAGAACCTAGTTGTTCAGATTGATGGAAATTTCCGGAGTGTCCAATCAAAGTTATAAATAGGCCTATATGCCTACACAAGATCAGATAGGCCTATATAAAAAGATAATTGAAACAAAACTAGCAGACAAAATAACATGTTTTAGTTATTAAATTGCATTGTTTGTATTAACATATTCCATAAAAACGATAGGCCTACTACAAACTTTATTCCCGATCTGACGCGCAATTATTATTTTTGCAAAATCAAATGCCGCCTCACGTCAATTTTAAATATATTAGCGCCCTCTATGCATACTAAAAAGATGAATTTATATGGCTTATGACTTTTGCTCTTATCTGATTTTGAATATTCTTTTCTTCTATAATGTCTTAGTTTTGTATTTCCTAAATGTTTGCATTTCTTTTTTAACTCTATAGAATAGAAATCTTTTCTATTATCTGTTGTCTTTTTTTTTTTTTGCACTGTCAAACTTTTCAGAGAGCATGATGGGAACTTCCGGTACAAAAATGATACACACAGTTTGCAAAGTTCAGCCATGTTCATGTTGGAAGTTGATACAATGATGTTTTATTTGGAACTTTAATCATTATTCTGGAATTAACAACTTACCTTCGATAGTAACATGGTTATATTTTTACCTGAAGTTATTAAAAGGAGGTGATTAGCCGTCTAAAATATATTTTAGGAACGTCGGGGCTCTGGAATTTGAAGCCTGTCGACAGGTAGGTAGGCCTAGGCTAGGTAGGGAGATTGGTTAACACGCTTGAGGCTCCCGTGTCTTAACCTGTGCTTGCCAGGCCCTTGTTGAAAGGGCCTCTCTGCGTTAGACACCCTTTTCTGTTTCGGCAGTTTTATTCGCATTTTTGATGTATGTAGCTTTTGGGAATTTTGATATTTGTTGTGGTATTTATTAGTGGTTGTGATCTTTATTCTTTACTCGAGGGTAGACATTGCAACGAGTTTTTAAAATAAAGTAGGGCCTAGGTTAGGGGCCTAAGCGTTAAGCAGTAGGCTGGAAGGCCTAGCCTGTAGCTAGGCCCTGGCCTGAGAGTAGCCTAGCCTAGACCTTCCATCTTCCTCCTATGCCTATGGATTATGACCGGTTGAGCCGCCGACAAGTTGAGCCGCCGGTCATTTCTATGGAACGCCAAGCGCGTCTCTCAGTGAATGTAGGCCTAGTGTGTTAATTGCGGCGTATTTCAATTAACTTATTCGTTCTTGGTACTGTACTGTTGTTTGGGATGTATTTCAGTTTATTTACTCAATTATTTCAATTTATTTAATACTCGGTTTTTGCACTGATTTATTAAATATTTTTTGGACGTATTTCAATTTGTTTACTTGTTCTTTCGTTTTAATTTAAATTTTGTGAGTATTTGCTCAGTCAGCTTGCCAGATAGTAAAAAAAAAAACTCCATACATTCTTATCATTTATTATATATAAGTTTAACAAATAGTACAAAAGTAAAAAGTATATAATTACAAAACCATAGTAAATACTGTATATTGACATAGGCCTAACACATTTAAATTTATTGTTTATAGTCATCTGTCTAATTCAGTCGGCTTGCCAGATAGTAAAAAAAAAAAACTCCATACATTCTTATCATTTATTATATATAATGATATATAATAAATAGAATTTAATTAAATAATTTAACAAAATAGTACAAATAACGAATAAGTTAATTGAAATACGCCGCAAACCAAATGTAAAAAATAATCAAGTTATTACATTTTTAATACGATTTTGCATGAATAATAAATAGATGTGTATAAGAGACAGGTGTTAGGCCTATGTTATTATACAGTATTTGCTATGGTTTTGTAATTTATATACTTTTTATTTTTGTACTATTTGTTAAACTTATATATAATAAATAATTTAACAAA